TGTGTGTGTGTGTGTGTGTGTGTGTGTGTGTGTGTGTGTGTGTGTGTCATCTCAGTTAGAGCGAAAGCGAAAATGGGTGGAGGTGTTGACTGGGCCATGACTGGATTAGCTGCACATTTGAGGTGTGTGTGTGTGTCTGGCAGGGGGACAGGAAGTGTATGAACTTTGACAGAAATGAACGGGTAAGAGAGCGATGGAGGGAGGGAGCAACAAAAAAAAAGGGAGAGTGAGGTTAGAGAAAGGGGGAGAAGTAAAGAGCAATTGGGTGAGCAAGGTTAGATGATAGAGGAGGAGGAGATGAGGGAAGAGAGGAAGTTTAAAGGGGTGAGAACACATGATAGTAGTGAGAGAGAGGGAAGGGGGGAGGAACAGAGGAGGTAGATGTAATGGATGATTAAGGCTTTTCTGCATAACTACAGCTTAAATGTTGAACAAGTGGTCGTGGTACAAAAGGAGGAGGGAGATCAGCGGAGGAGTGACTCCCGACGTTTACAGGAAGGAGAAAAGAGAGAGTGAACCGGCTACCGAGCGATAAGGCAGTGAGGGGAGGGAAGGAGGTCGCGAGGAGGTTAAAGAGGGCAAAAACAGGAAGACAAGGGTGAAAACACAGAGAGAGGGAGGGAGGGAGGTTAGAGAGAGGGGTGACCACGGGGTGAGAGAGAGAGGGGAGGAAGAAAACATGGATAAGGAAAGAGAGAGTGAAGGATGAGAGATTGGGAAGAAGTGTGTTTAGTCTCGGCAAGGTGTTGAAAGGTCTGACCTCTTCACCTCGGAGGTCAGCCTCCCTCTGTCGCTCAAACACACACACATACACTTTGAGTGACAGGCCATTGGGCACAGACGTGGACTTACCATTAGAAAAGAAAGAGTTAGCGGCCAGGTGGTTCGACTGGAAAATCCTGGACACACACACACACACAGTTTGATTGTTAAATGAGAGCGACTTGTACTCACACAGGCACACGTGCGTGTAAAGCTTTCATTTATTTTTCTAGTAAACCTGGATTTTGCAATCAAGACCACCACTTTCTCCACATTTTCCATCTTCATCCGTTCTTCTCTTTCTTCTCTCGGCCTCCATCTCTCCTTTTGGTTTCCATGTTTTTTAAAGTTCCAGCGGTCGTAGCCCTCCGGAACAATACTGCTTTGTTATGCTCACACCCACACACACCTCTGAGCTCAGTATAGCGAGGAGTTCACGGCCGTTTGATGCCGCTCGCTGGTTGAATACACATTGTTCAGCCGAGGGTCAGTTTGGGAATTGCAGAATGCGGTTTAGTCGCCTCTCGACATCAAACTAAACGGTTCCAAAACACCTCTGGATTACAACCAGTGAAACTTTATTCCATCCACTTTAGTGTTTTGTTTTTAACTTTGAATTTGTTTTCAATGGACAATGTTCAGCCGAGGGTCAGTCTAAAGGATTAAAGAACGTAACCCGGCTTCAGTGCAGAACTCCCCTCTGGAGCTTTAGTTTTATTATTCTGCATTTGGATCCGCATAACTTCTTTGAATAGCGATTGTTTTAGGTTGTTTTAGCCTTAACTCATAGATTTATGCTCTAGTTTCACACAGATGTCTTCATAGGATAAAATAATGATGTGATGACATTTTCGCAGCATCATCCACATTCAAAGCATCGTCTACTGTCAATGAATCTGCTACAAGCATGCAAACACATGCAAGGAATCTGACTTGTTTGTTCTCTTTAAATGACCTTATAGACAAACAGCAGAACCAGCTGACTGGTTGGCGGTTAGCTCTAGTTTACTTTGGTTTAATGGCACTAAGAGTCTTTAGGGAGTTAGTAAAACACAAAGATGTGTTTGTTAAATTACCCCAAGTCTCTGTGATTATTCCCGTATCTTTCTACCTCTTATCTTGGTGATAGCAGGTGTTGGTCACCACACACATCTACATGTAGAGTCACTCAGAGCCTGCTGGTCAGCAGTGTAGACATACATGCGCTGCTGGTCAGGAGCTAAGGGAGCCTGTTATCTGCCTCCTTATCTCTGAGCTCACCGAGGACTCCGGGTCCTGGTCTGGGTTCCTAGATAGGCCACGTTTCTCCCACACAGCAGAGAGGGAGATAAAAGAGAGAGAGCGTCTGCGTAATGGAAGGAAAAGATACGAGCTGGACAAGTTCAGAAAGCTGCTTCTGTGTGTTGTTAGTTTTGATGTCTGACCAGCGACGCCAACCGAAACTGAACCAGTGCCGGTCATCAAAGACACTTTCTCTATCTCCCTTTCTTACTCACTCACACACTCACTCACACACACACACACACATGACCTTATCTAACCTTTCCCATCATTCAGTGGTTCTAACCTTTTGGGTTTTTAATACCTCGTTAAATTCATCCTTCCCTGAAAGCTTCACAGTTTGGCCCACATGTTCTCCAGTTGACTTTAAAGAGTGTGAAGCCGTGATCCAGACAGCTGAAACGGTATTACATAGACATATGAGACATAAAATGTCTTGCCTAGTAATGTGAATAACATCAGAGAATTTATTGATTCTTTATTTAGTTTAAATTGAGCAAATCGCCGCCAAAAAAACCTATGATTTATTATTAGTTTGAGTCGTTGAAACGGAGGAACGATTGTGTGACGTTAGTATAGATGATTGATGATCACTTTTTCAGTGCCAGCGTCCTGTCGTGGTCTCCAAGGAAGGAAGAATTGCAAGTTGCTGAAAATGGCGAACAAAATAAATAAATGAATAATGGAAAATGGGACGAAAAAGAACCTCACGGATTGAGAATATCCAGACACGTTTTCTTTAACTAGCTACAGTTAGTTATTGTTTAATACGTTATTGGCTGCTGTTCATGTCAGAACATAAGGTTTTGCCAGCTTTGTTTTATAGCTTCAAACTGCACTACTGTAACGGTGAGACACTCCTCAAACACTGGAATACCTCGTGTTGTCCGTCCGTCCTGATCTCTACTTTGTGTTTTAGGGTTTGCGTGATGTGTTTGAGAACTACTACAGAAAGCAGAGGAGGAAACAGGCTCGCCTTGTGCTGCAGCCCCACTCTAACATGGTATGACCCTGCACCGTCACTGTGTGTGTGTGTGTGTGTGTGAATGCACCTTTATGCCCACACACTCCTAACAACACCCCACCTACACACACACTCCTTAATCTATAACTTCTGTTAACTGTTACCGTAAATGGGAATATTGAACAAACGGACGGTTTTATGCTTAAAAATCATATCGTATACTATTTGGTGCCGATTGTTTTCATCTCTCTGTACAGACTCTGTTTCTCTCTCGTCCCTCCGTACGTGTTGTTTTTGTTCTTTTACATTTCTAGCATGAAACTCTGGAGGGATACAGGCGCTACTTCAATCAGATTGTCGGGTAAGTCTCTCCCCCTCCATCTTTAATTAACCTCTTCATCAGTCTTCACGGGTTTGAATATCTTCAGATTTTGAGATTTTAGCTGAATTGAAAATTTAATTTAAGACAAAATAGAAACATGTTTTCTTCCATAATGACTATTTTAACAGAGACAAAAAGAGTATACGTCAGACATCAAATGTATAATTCACTTTTGAACAATTTTTGTCCCCAACAGAAACAAATTATTAAAGCAAACTTGTAGTCTGTTGCTCCGAGGGATTTTTGTGTCAATATTGGCGTCAATAATCGTTCCTCTCCTTGGAATCATAACTCAATTCTAACATATGTGTGATCTACACATCCCGAGGATATCATTATCTCTGATGTCCATTGTGAATAAACGTAAAACGATCTGCTTAGAAATCAAAGGAAAAATAATGTATAACTCCAGAACCTGCCTGAGAATCATCACGTTTTAAGTTTTAGCCCACAGCTAATGAACGGTCTACTTCCTGTTTACATCCCAAATGCCCCCAAATATGGGAACTGTAGTTCCAAATGATTTATAGATCCACTTCTTCTGTCAAGTCATCCATTTATCATCCATCTTCCCTTCCATCCATCCGTCAGACGTTCATCCACCCAAACCACAAACCTCTCCATCCTCGCATCCACATGTCATCCCTTTACCTCTCCATCTCGGCCTTCTGTGTAACTAGGAGGAGGAGGGGGGGGGGGGGGGGGAGAGAGAGAGAGAGAGGGAGAGAGAGAGAGAGAACATTCAGCATTTAGCGACACCTCATCTCATTTTGTTTCAGTGACTTCTGACCATTTGACATCTTTTCATCTCTCTCTCTGGCCACACTCACTTAGCCCTTCCCTCCTTATGCTTTTCCTCTCATCTATCACTCTATCCAATTCTTCCCATTGCATACACACACACACGACGGTTGATAGAGTGTGTGTGATGGTGGTTGGCTTATTGCTATTATTCCTTCTGACTGGAGCAGATGCTTTTATAAACACTGCCTGGGCTAAACACACACACACACACACACACACACACACACACACAATGGCGCACACACCCCCAGGTCTGTTTTTCCCATTTGACGTTTTGGAAAATGCCATCCCATTTCTCTGTTTCTCTACCATTGTTCTGAGACAACTGAAGTTGTCTTTTTGTCATTCATTCAACCTTTATTTACACAAGGCAGGCAGACACAAACATTAAGAAACAAAATAATAATACATCTGTCATTACAACCTGTTTCCACTATTGTTTTATATCTGCCTGCAACATAAAACTAAATGTTTTTACGGGTTTTGTGTAAATAAGTAAATCTTTGTAGTTCATTGTGTTTACGCTCTGTCTTTGTTGTCTGTCTTCCTCCAGCTTCTTCGTGGTGGAGGACCACGTCCTTCACACCACGCAGGGTTTGGTCAACAGAGCGTACGTGGAGGAGCTGTGGGAGTTGGCGCTGTCCAAACTCATCGCCGCCCTGAGGACGCACTCTGTAAGGACACGAGCGACCCCCAAAAATACCCGCTAATGAAATGCCGAGACTTTGTCAGCATAAACTGCACGCACTCCTCTGTCTCCGCAGTCGTACTGTGACAACCCGGACCTGGTGCTGGACCTGAAGAACCTCATTGTGCTTTTTGCTGACACACTGCAGGTACGTGTGTGTGATTAACTGTGAGAGGCAGAGTTTATTACCAACGTTTTTCTTTCCACTTTGGTGTTCTTGTACGGTTCGTTCTTATGCCAGCAAAGCTATTTGCCCCCAGGGCCCCATGAAACTTGTTCAAAGCAAGTTTTGGGGTTTCTAAAAAATATGGACTGCTGCCAATCACGAAAAAGAGACTTTCATTCTCAAGTCGAGCATTTTAGAAGTTTATCATCTGATGGCAGTTTGCTCTCCCGTCTCTGTATCCTCCGCTGGATGAACTGACCGGGATGGATTGGGTGTGACGGATGAGAGGATGGAGGGACGGGGGGGGGGGGATAGAGGGGATGTGGGTTAGAACCGGATGGGAGAAACGGTCTGAGATGAGTGAGAGGGGACGAAGTGATGACTGGACGGGACGATGCTCCAAAGTCCTTCACGGGAAGTGATGAGGTGCCGCTGAACGGCTGAATCCACCCGTTCTCAAGAACGTCTCCGAATGTGCATTCACCACTGTTTTATTTTAAGAGGTTTTTGTTGTTTTGGTGTGATTTATTTGCAGGTAATGAGAGGTAGTTTCAGCTGCAGCTGGACACTGACTGGTTGCTCTGGTCTTCCTTCTCCTGCAGGGTTACGGTTTCCCCGTGTCGCAGCTGTTCGACATGCTGCTGGAGATGAGGGAGCAGTACGGGGAGATCCTGCTCAAGAGATGGAACGTCACCTTCAGGTACCGAGCACCGAGAGATCACCAACCTCTGCTGGTGTGCAGGGCGGAAGCGTTTCAGAGAAAAAGTGGTGCCTTGGGCATGTTTAGGCGCTCGGTGTTTGTTTTTCAGTAGCCGAGTGCGTGCTGCACTGATCTTCCCCTTTCTAGTCGTAGGGTCATAAGGGTGAAACACACACACACCACTGTTGGTTTGTGGGAAGCGTCCTGGTTTTGAAGTTTTACGACCAGCCAGAGGGAGGAAGTGTTTTAAAGCAAACGTCCGGAACATTCTCTACCCTTCAGAATGGGTACTACCCTTACAAGTGTGTGTGTGTGTGTGTGTGTGTGTGTGTGTGTGTGTGTGTGTTTGGGCTTACATGCCATTGTTTCACCATCGCTTTTGTCCAATGACACCAGAGGGACTTGAAGCGAGAACGGACAAACAAACACACACTCTCTCTCACACACACGAACACACACACACACACACACACACACACACACACACACACACACACTGGGGAAGCCACAGGAATGTTGTGTTGTATTGTTGGAGAGGGAGCGCTCTCCAGTTCACGGCCTCTCCATGGAACGTTGGAACGTCCGAACTCTGGAGCGCCAACAAGAAGTGGGGGGGGGGGGGGGGGGGGGGGGGGGGGGGGGGGGGGGGGGGGGGGTGGTGAAGGAGGGGAGGGTGGTAAGAAAACCTCAAGCATTACAATGACCCCCAATGGGACGATTTTGTGTGTGTGTGTGAGAGAGACTGATGGCATCTCCATCATTCCTGTTTTAAACTGTGAAAATAGAAGATTATTTATTTCTTTCCTTCTCCTCTCCAGGCAGGTGTTGGACCAGGATAACTTCAGTCCGATCCCAGTCTCAACAGAAGATGAGTACAAACACTACACTTCCCAGTTTCCCATGGAGGACCCCGAACTGGACAAGGTAGAGATGGAGAGAGGGAGAGAGAGAGAGAGCAGATCAGGATGCTTCAGAATGAACAAACAAGCAAATAAACAGGCTTCAGTGTCATATCGTCCACAGAAAGCACATCTTTCATGTAGAATCTCACCAGAAGTGAAATCTAGACTCATGTCAGGTTGCTTGTGTACTAAATGTGAAGCAAAAAAATGTAATCAAATCTCACTTAATCTTTTTTTTTTTTTTATCCAGCTTCCCTTCCCCAAGAAGCTTCCCTTCTCCGAGTTTGTGCCAAAAGTCTACTGCCAGCTCAAAGAGTTCATCTACGCCTGTCTGAAATACTCCGAAGACCTGCACCTCAGGTACACTCGCACGCTAAACCTTTGACGTTGTTTTTGGCCAACATTCCCGTGTTGATCGGAGGAGAGTGTAGACAACCTAGTGCCTCCTCCGACACACCTGGCGTCATCAGGTTCTATGTTCATCGTAAAAGAAACGGACAGTAGATGATGGCTGACTTCAAGTTCTCCATAAACTGTGACGGGAATGGCTGCACAGTTTATGGGGAACGTTGTGGCTGCACATGGCTAGCTGGCTCCGGCTAACTTGTAGCGGCTCTAGCGATGGCATTTACGACAGGAACTGAAGCCACGGGAGTTTAACTGAACAGTGTCCAGATTCTAGTTAGTTCAGTCTGTCCCTTTCTGCGCAATTCAAACCGGTATCTTTTTTTTGAATTTTGAATAACAGCGTGCCAATCCGGGGTTACCCCTGCCAGGAATCCAACTCTTTGTCGCTGCAGTGGGCAAGTGTTTTGCTCCTGAGCACCATAATACATATTTGCCCAAAACAGCCTTTTTTCTCCATCACTTTCTGCCGTTGTCTCTCTCCCCCTTTCTCTCTTTTTCTCCCTCACACACACGCGCGAATACGGCAGACTTGCCTTCGTCGATTCTTTCCACTCTGACCGGGGATCTTTGGCTCATTAGATTTGGCCCGCTCGACCACAGCTCGGCAATCAAGTCCAGCTTCTGTTCCATGTTCTGTCGAGGTTAAACGGTAACCCTCTTGTGCGTGTGCGTGTGCGTGATGTGTGTGTATTGTTTACGGTTGATGGAAGAATTAACTAAAACAATGCAGCCGCTTTTCTACCGAGGAGACGAGCATTCAGGAGAAAGACTTCTGCTGTCCAGAAGGATTCCACAGGGCTGGGATTCAGCCAGACACACACACACACACACACACACACACACCCACAAACATACATGGAGACACATGCTTGTATACATTCACATAAACACACGCCTGAAACTTGAACTGCACAGCGAACAAAGAAGCTTTCATGCATATTATACAACAAAACGCACTCTGTGAGCTTCAGTTTGATTCGTATTATTAGTGTCAAGCTCTGATTTGGTTTGTGGTTTTTTTTTTAAACTAAATAGCACTTTCTTTTATTCATGCTCATATCCCTGAAGCTCTTGTGGCTTTTTTGTTTTAAGTGAGCCTATTTGTATCCACTGACCGCATGTTCGATAGTGTTGCTCCGTCTGTGCAAGAGGCTCACGTGTTTGTGAGCGTTTTGTGTGTGTGTGTGTGTGTGTGTGTGTGTGTGTGTGTGTGTGTGTGT